CCCCCCCCCCCAAAAAAAAGCACGCACACACACACACATACACAACGCGACCGGGCGCGAACGCACGCGCACCCACACACATACCCATACACACACACACACACACACACACACGGATAGCCATGTCCCACAACGCCTCGCTGATGACCGGTCCGGCTGGCAATAAGGTCATCACGGCGGTCACCTACAACTCGGTGAACTCCCTGCCGCCGGCCAGCTCGGCCCCCTACCCGCCGGTCAGCTCGACCCCCTACCCGCCGGCCAGCTCGACCCCCTACCCGCCGGCCAGCTCAGCCCCCTACCCGCCGGCCGGCGGCACACCGCGGCCCGCCTCCGGGGCCTACTACTCCGCCCCCTCCGTGGGCCAGGCCAGCGCCCAGTACGCCAACCCCATGACCCCCACCTCGTCCAATGTGTCGCAGGCCATCGACATCTCCCGGCAGATCGAGGCCCAAAAGCGCCAAACCCACCAGCGCAAGTGGATGGCCACCATCGGCCTGATGCTCTTCTTCCTCATGTGCATCGGGCTATGCTTCATCTTCGTGCCGATCCCCGGCGGCAAGAAGATCTACGTCCCGATGGGGTCACAAGTGCTGCACGACCGCCTCAATGGCCAGTTCATCCACTCGCTCTGGCTGCATGGGATCGAGCGCCCGGACCAGCAGGAGGTCGATGGCTACCTCTTCCCGGAGGAGCCGCAGCTCACCACCACCCGGGCATACAGCCTGACGCACTTCTACCGGCTGCCGGCCTACACCCACCAGGCCTTCGATGTCTTCCTGGCCGCCGGGTCCCACATCAACCTCAGCGTCACCAACAACAGCCAGACCTCGGCCGTGGTGTACCTCATCCGCGGCGAGGCGGCCTACCACCGGTGGGTCACCTCCCGGACCCTGGTCGAGGCCGAGGTCATCCCGGTCCCCGGCGGCTCGCACATCACCCAGCGGCTGGCCATCCCCGAGTCCGACGACTATTACATTGTCTTCTACAATGAGGGCGGCATCGACATGGTCAGCTCCGCCGAGATGAAGGCCGACGTGGTGGCCCGCGTGTATGACCTGGCCCAGGCCAAGGCCTCCTGCACCGGGCCCCGGTGCTTCATGCTCCTGGAGTATGGCACCCGGCCGTACCTGGTCCTGCAGACCCCCCCGCGCCAGGGCGGCGGCTTCACGGTCAATGTCGACCAGCAGGCCCACGCCTGGGCCTATGGCCTGCTGTATGGCAGCCTCATCGTCGGCATGGCCGCCTCCGTGCTGGCCAGCCGCGCCTACATCGTCCACCAGGGCAAGCTCCGGTGTGCCGAGCTCGATGAACTCCGCCGGCCCCTGATCGACAGCTCCACCACCGGCGGCGGGCTCCTCGGCCGGACGCACCGGCCCTGATGGGTGCCGGTGTCCGGGTGAGCCCGGTGCACGGGCTAGCCCCCTCCCCTCCCCCGCCCCTTCCTCCTCTCTTCGCCATCTCTTCACACTTGTGCCCCGACTAGCGCGGCAATATACACGGAATATCCTCCCCTCCCTCTGGCGGCGGCGGCGGCGGCGGCGGCGGCGGCGGGGCAAGCCTTCGCTGTTGTGCCGCCTCCTCCCGTGCATGTGTGACCCCTTTGGCGTGCATATATGCCTGCCCTCGCTCGCTCTCTCTCTCTCTCTCTCTCTCTCTTTCGATCACAGTCCCTTCTCCCTGTGCCCAGCCCCGGCCCTGAGCCCGCGAAGCCCTGGACATGATGTGTGCACGCGTGTGGCTGCTGCCAGGGCAGGGAGATGTCCTGCTCCAGACACCTGCCCGGGCTGGAGAGATCGCATGCACATGCATCGGCGGCGGTCTCCGCAGCCAGCGCTGTGAGGAGCGGGTGGAAGGCGATGCCCCGGCCGCACCGGAGCCACGGCGGTGGTCGGGGACCCGTATAATCGCACCTGCGGTGCCACCGAGAAAATGAAAGAGAGTGAGGGGGAGAGAGAGAGAGAGGGGGGGGGAGGGAAGAGAGAGGGGGGGAGGGAAGAGAGAGAGGGGAGGGAAGAGAGAGAGGGGGAGGGACAGAGAAAGAAGGAGAGACGGAAAGAGAGACAGAGACAGAGAAAGAGTCAGAGAAAGAGACAGAGACAGAGAAAGAGACACAGACAGGGACACACGATTCTGGTGCGGCTCGAGCGTATCGCCGCTGGCCCCGCTCCCCGCCTGGGTCAACCGGCATCCCGGGGAACCACCAACGGGCGCGGAGATAGGGCGAAAATGTGATAGATCCGGTTCTGGAGCTCCTCTGTATTTCCACAGGTGCGCGTGATCAGCTTCCCACGTGTACCCCATAGCCCACAGGGATGATGCCAATCTCCCACCCCGCCCCCTGCCGGGTGGTCGCCTCGCGGAACATGGGGCGGGGGGGGGGGGGGGGGGGCAGCCCCGCACAGTCCTGCAGGGCCGCAGCCCGAACCGCGCGCGCGCGTGCCCGCACGGGCCTTCTCCCTCCCCGCGGCCGAGGCGGGCCTCTTTTTCCGGCGCGACGAGGGGCGCAGGATCTCGGCCGCCCCTCCGGACCAGCTGCCAGGGGCCCGGTGACATGGCTCCCAGTGCCCTCGCTGCTCGGGCATCCCCAGCGGCGAGGAGTACAGTGGGGCAGGCCCACGCCCGGGTGGGTGGGGGGGGGGGGCGGGCCGCGGCCGCGGCCGGGGCCGATACGCTCCTGGTGCTGCGCCACGCTCCACAGTCTGCCGGAACCCGTGTCGCCCCCTCTCTTGGCGGAGCTGCGCTTCCTTTCCTGGGCCGGCCATGGATCAGCATTCCAAATGTCGGGATATCCCCGCGGTGCGGGGCTGGCATGCTGCCCCGCGCAGCCCCGCCGCCGGTCGGCCCACAGGCCCTCCTGCACCATACCCCCTTGCACTGGTGGGAGGGGAAGCCGGCGAGAGAAGCCGGCTGCGCAGGACGCCTCGCTCGTAGGCTTTC